CCCTAAACCCTACACCCTAAACAACCTTCAACCACGCCCCAAACCCAAAAAAGCCTTCAGCCCCGACGCCCTGATAAAAGTTTCGGTTATTTGCAGGGGTCCCCGCAATACCAGCCCCAAAAATTGAGCCTTGGGCCCTGCGCCCGGATAGGGTTTAGGCTTTGGGGTTGAGGGTTCAGGGTTTAGAGTTTAGGGGTTTTAGGCTGCATGCCGCTCGGCTCGTCGGGGCTTTATGCGGTCCGTGGTTTCAGATGACAAGAATGAGTGAGTGCAGTGTGGCACGCAAGAGGACATCGAGGGATGTCCTCTCGCCTGCCCGGCCCCCTCTGCGCAAGCAGTTGCCTGACGAGGAAGCTTTTTCGGCTGTACAGACGGGTTTTGGGCCGGCAGTCAAAAATTCGAGTAGCAATGTGTCACCTGAGTCCCTCAACACCTTGGTTTTATCGATCGAAACGGCGTTCGATTTTACTCTGACATCCGATGTCACATACATGAACAAGAAAAGTTGTCCGAATCTTGCCGGAAGCCTGAGGCTTTATAGGGTATCTGGGTTTAGAAGTTTAGGGCTTTAGGGTTGAGAGCTTCAGGGTTTAAGGCATCTGGGTTTAGGATCTTAGGGCTTTATAGGGTTAACCGTAGAAATGGGAATTCACCTGGGCCCTGCAAAGCTAGTAACTAGGTTTTGGTAGGTGAAGGGTAAGCCCTAAACCCACCCCCTGAGACTCTTTCGACAAGCTTTTTCCGCTGTCCGAGGCTTCTTTGGGCGTACCAGAGGATGCCCTGACGAAGGTCGGCACTTGCAGATTTTCAAGGGCTTCGCAAGGGTTCGGGGCGTGAGGCCTTTGGGGGAGTTAGCAATGAGTATTGAGCCTTGCTGACTGCCGACGCTATTTCTGAAGGGTTCCTTAATATACTTTTAGTATCTTATGCCCCCAAAACCCAAAACAAATATCATATACTTATACCGCCCCAAGCCCCGATTCTAGTTATTGTGGTTCAGGGTCCCGAGGTGCGGGCTTCGGGTTGCCGACGTCGGGCTGAATTCGGTTTCAGGTTTGAGGCATGAACAACGTTCGAGAGTTGTGAGCTCTTTGCTCTTTACTCTCTACTCTCTCTCTCTATCCCCTCTGGCTCTCTCTCTCTCTCTCTCTCTCTCTCTCTCTCTCTCTCTCTCTCGCTCTCTACAATCAAAAAGCAGAGAAACAACAGCATCCGAGGCCCTCGAGGATCCGGGCAAAGAAGACCGGATAATAAAAGTCACTGAGGCTGCCAGGCAGGGGTCATGTTTTTGGCAGAGGAGGGGGATGGAGGTGGGTTTCCTTTTGTCTTCCAAGAATTAGGAGGTCTATGATGTGAAGATAGCCATTGGGGTGTTTAGTAGGACGTTTGATGAGATTTTGCGGTATGTGCTCATGTTTTGTTGGGTTTGTAGCAGTTCAAAGCAGACTTTGTCGTTCCCTGTAGATGTGGGGGGTTCAGGGCATTAAGGGTTTCGGGTTCATTATTCTGCTTGTCCAGTAGACGGACTGACGTTGAACTATGTTAATTGTGAAGCTGGGTTTTAGGGGAGCTTCTGGTTACCCCCCCAAACTCCAAACCCCTAAACCCTTCTCCGCGCCTACCACTACTACTACTCCTACTCCT